GGGTGTGTGTGCGGTCACCCCGAGGCTGGGCCTCGGCGCCCACCGCGTCTGCCCCGCGTGCATGGGGGCGTGTGCACGGGCGTGTGCGTGCGCGCCCCTGGCCTGGGCCCTGCTGCTCTGCGAGCATCTTTTTCACCCTCCGTCTCTGGGGGCCTGAGCGTGGGGCCCCCTGAGCTGCGCCTGTGCTTCTCTTTAGCTGCTTCTGCGTCCACCTGAGTTCAGTCTTTGGTGTGTGTGATGTGGGGGGTCCGGGTGTGCCCCTCGCGGAAGCGGGTGTGGACAGGTGGCCCCAGATTCCCGCCTGTCAGCGCATCGAGTTGCTTCCATAGGAGGCCCTGGGGGTGTGGCCTGGCAGGGCTGGACCGCCCTGGGGGACAGGTTGTGGGGGAGGGCCGTTTCTCCCCCCTCGCGTGGCACCTGCTTAGAGGGTATCAGAGCCGTTCCAGGGCGCTGGCCTCATTCTTTAAGGGGTGACTTGTTGAGGGGTTGTGTGCAAATGACTGCTCTGGGCACTTTGTGGGCCCACCTCATTTAAGGGCTCCCAGTCACTGCTAGGGAGGACTCATCAACCCCACTTTACAGCTGGGGAAACTGAGGTTCAGATTCTGGAAGTGAATCCCCAAACTCTGTGCCCAGCCATCTGGGCCCCAGAACCCCAGCTTCACTACCAGGCAGACGGGAAGTCCTGGGGGAGACAAAGTTGGGGATCCTGTACCCGCAGAGGACCCCACCCCGGCCCCCAAGTCCCAGCAAGGTATGCCGGGCGACCTGGGGTTCCTGAGAGCCAGGCGGCCAAGGTGCGGGGCTGGCAATTCAGGGGCACAGGCGGTCCCCTCAAAGCAGGACAGCTTCCAGGCCGCAGGGTGGGCACCGGTGGGGAGGTCTCCAGGGTCTGTGCTTTGTACTATTTTAATTGGCTCACTGATGCTTAAAGGGTACCGCAGCTCACTCTGTGGGGGCGCCCGGGAGGCTTCCATGGAGAGGACCGAGCCCCGAAACAGGAGGCCAGGCCAGGTGCCGCCCCGCCCCCACCACCTCCTGGCCCACTTAAGGAGTGGGGGTGGGATGGACAGCCCCGGGGCGCACGGGCCTCCGTGCCAGTGGCCGGAAGCGCAGGGAGGGCTGGCTCCGAGGCCGGAGGTGGGAGCGGTGTGGGGGGTCAGGGCCCGGAGCCCCACGGCCACTGGAGGGGCATGCGTGAGAGCCTGAGGCTAGCTGGGGCTGGGGCCGGCCGGCGAGGGCCGTGCGTGCGGTGGGGGCAGCGGGGCCCAGCCTGAAGGTGAAGAAATGCACGAAGCCAAACTCTTCAGAACGGTCTTGAGCGCTTCCTAAACGCTGGCGCTGCAGGAGGGGGCCTCGCCGAGCACAGTCCGCGGGATGGGGTCTGGCGGCCGAGGCCCTACCGGGCGGCCCAGCTGCTGGGCGTGTAGGCGGGACAGGCCATTTCCACACCCAGGCTGGGTGTCCCTGTGGCTGGTGGGGTGACCACACCCTTCTCCTCAAATTCTGCCCCCCCCAGCAGCCCGCCTGGCCAGCCACCGGGCCCTCCCTCGGGCCCACTGGCCGTGGACTTAGGGGGTTTCAAGCACCAGCGCTGCAGGCGCCGCTCCCACCCGGCGCCCCTCTCACCGCGACCTGTCCTGGGTTGGGGGCCTGGATGCCAGAGGCCGCGGGGTGCGGGGACGGGCAGGGGGCCCTGGGAGCAGTGCGCAGGGCAGGGCGTGGGGCGGTGCTGCGTGTCGTCTGGTGGTTGGGGTGAACTGGGGCCCA